GCTTCCCTGAAGGCTCCAGAGGACAAAAAAGCAACCCTATGAGCAAACCAGAAGTGACTTCCGGTTTGTCCCTAGGGCCATTTTTCATCCTCCAGAGCGTTCAGGTGGCTTCCCTGAAGACTCCGGAGGGCTAAAACCGGCTCTATGAGCAAATCAGAAGTACGTTTCTGAACAGCGCATGTGTGCTGGTCAGCTGACAGGGCAACGCCTCACGTGCCCTGACAAATGGTTCCGCGTGCCACCTGTGGCACACATTTCATAGGTTGGCCATTACGGGCATAGATTGTGTGTTTTACCACAGGGGTTTTTAGAGAGTCCGAATTTGTTTGGGTAAATGTTGGAATCGATGTTGGAAAAATTTAGCCCAACCAGGGGTATACAGTTGTTCCAGTATGTGGATGATTTATTGCTATCAGGAGAAAAGAAAGAAGAGGTAGAGGAAGGTAGAAATGAGTTGTTGAATTTCTTAGGTCATCAAGGCTTGAGAGTTTCAAGGAAGAAATTGCAGTATGTGGAACCTGAAGTAAAGTACTTAGGACATTTGATTAGTCAAGGGAGTAAGAAAATAAATCCAGAAAGAATAGAAGGGATAGTAACACAACCCTTATCAAAGACAAAAAGAGAGGTTAGAAAGTTGTTAGGATTGGTAGGGTACTATAGATTGTGGATAGATTGATATACAGACAAAGTCAAATTCCTATATTGTAAGTTGTTGGAAAAAGAGCAATGGGAAGTTATTTAGAAGGAAGGTGATAAAGATAAGTTTGAAGAGTTAAAGAAAGCTATGATACAAGCCCTTGTGTTGAGATTGCCTGATTTAAAGAAACCCTTCCACTTGTTCGTAGCAATGGAAGAAGGTATTGCCAAGGGAGTACTGGCTCAAACATGGGCTGGAAAAAAGAAACCAGTAGTGTTTTTGTCAAAATTGATGGATCCTGTGGTGTGGGCTGGTCTTTATGTGTATAAGCTGTAGCTGCTACTACACTACTGGTTGAGGAAAGTTGAAAATTAATTTTTGGTGGGGCATTGATGGTGAGCAGTCCTCATCGGGTTTGAACAATCCTGATGCAGAAAGCTCAAAGGTGGCTCACAAATTCTAGAATTTTGAAATATGAGGTAATTTTGTTATCTCAAGAGAACCTAGTTCTCTTGACTGATAGGAATTTAAATCCAGCTGAATTCCTGTCAGGGGAGAAAAAGGAGTGGGAAAATGTGGAACATTATTGTGTGAAAGCTATTGATTTACAAACAAAAGTATGGGAGGATTTGGAAAACAGTCCTACAGAGGGCAGTATAAATTTATTTATTGATGGGTCTTCCCGACTAGAGAATGGGAAGAGAATGAATGGGTATTCAGTAGTTAATGGAGACACTGCTGAAATTTTGGAGACAGGACAGTTGTCATCTGAATGATCAGCACAAACATGTGAAGTTTTTGCCTTATTACAAACTTTAAAGTTGTTAACAAATGAAGTGGGTAATATTTATATTGATTCAAAGTATGCTTATGGGATTTTACAAACTTGGAAACATATGGATGGAACAAGGGTTGATAACAAGTAAAGGGAAGGAATTACAGTAAGTGGACCTCATAAAAGCTGTATTAAAGACAGCCGAAAGCCCAGAATGGCTGGCTATAATACATATTGAGGCACATAAAAAGGAAACTTCAAAACTAGTTGTGGGAAATTTTGAGTAAGAATAGGGATTTTGATCCCTACTTTGGAATGTGATGTGAAACCTGAATTCACTAATGATGAGGAAAAACCAATGATAGAAGAAGGAGCGGAAAAGATAGATGGATAACAAAGATAACAGAGGATAGATTACAAATAGTAAACAAACCAGTTATGACAAATATAATAGAGTGCATGAGAGAAACTACAACTGAAGCTGGAATTTGTACTAAATCATCCTTCAATGATGGTATACCCGAGGTGTAATCGCACATATAAAATAGTCACACAACATAAAGACTTATCGAATAGAATGGAATACTTATGTAATCAATGCACTGAACTTTATGGAAATTATGCACCATCCTATAAGAAATTTAAGATTATGGAAAAAGGGCTACTTTTACCATATATGGAAATAAAGGCCCCTTCAAAGTTTATGCTTTTGTGTGGGAACATAGCAGTGGCAAAATTTCCCTTTATATGGAAGGGTTGATGTACTATTGAATATCTTAAAGCACCAACCAGGTACACTAGACAAGTGGGTGAACAAAATAAAAAAGAGGGGAATATTTTTCTGGACTTAATGAAAGTGGCTCTCAACAGTTCATCTTTTTGCGTAAAGTGAGAGACAACAGTCTCGATATTATGTCTACGTATTTTGTTGGAGTGCCAGTCCCTGGAAAGTTTTTATTTGAGGAAACAAAAATCACCATAGAACCTAATAATTATAATTTGTCACAGGTGGATTTCTTTGTTTGGGAGTCCACAAAGCCTAACAAATGGACTAACCAGAAAAAATGGTGATTGAGATAAAAACTGTATTACCAGCATATGATTATGTGCTATACAAGCAACCAGAGAAGAAACAAGAAAATGTGGTATATGTTCCTTTGTCTACTGGGCATGTCTACCTGTTCTTCTAACTAAACTAAATCAGTTAGTGGTACCTGAACACACTTGTAAGTGGATCACAAGCTAGGCAAAATCATATCAGATACCTGTACAATTAGCACAGGAACCCCCCCACCCCCCAGGCTGTGTCTCTCTCCACTTCTCTTCTCCAGGGGTGGGTTCTGGCAGGCACTATTGCCAATTTGCTCATGTGCACGCCGCAGGAAACAGGAAATGGAGCGGCCAGCACGAGAAAAGGAGAGCAGGTAGAAGAAAGAGGGAAAGCGGCCTCCTTTTTCCCACGCCGGCTGCTCCGTTTTCCATTTTTCCATTGCAGCATCGCGCCACTTTCCACACCCACCACTATCCAGATGCCCTTGCTTCCGCCAAGCGTTTATTTGCCTACCTTTTTCAGCTCTGTCACATTCCTTTGCCCCTTTCCCTCACAATCATGTGCAGGGAAACAAAAGTTTGTGCGACTAAAAAAAGAAAGTTCAGTCAATTCCAACTTTGTGACTTTTTTTTTGTAAGAAGTTGGAATTGATTGACCTTTTTATTAATCCAACAAATTTTTGTTTCCCTGCACACAATGGCAAAAAATGCAATGGAGAAATGTGATGGAGCTGAAATCAGGTTAGCCAAAAAGATGTTTGGGGGAAGTGAGGGCATCTGGGCGCCAGGCACTGAAACAGGCCGTTCTCTCTCCAGCAGCTGCCCAGGCCCACTGGAGGGAAGGCCAGCATCTACCGGCACTTTAATGCAGCAGCATATCTATCATACATACATCCGCAGCTCAGGTTTCTAACAAATCACCTTCCAGGAACTTTTGTCTGATGCATTTCTCCTCTAAGATCAAGTTGCAATAACCAAGCGATTTTCCCTATGCACCTCAAGCATAACATTCTAACTCCATCCACTTCCATTGCAACACCTATTGAGTTCCTCTCAAAAAGAGTTTTGTACTTCTGAGCATATTGAGCCTTGCAGAATTTGAGACTGAGGGAGCGGGGCCAAGAGAGTCATGGGAGGTAGTCTTAAATTTCACATGGCCGCCTCCGGGACATTTGCTCGGGAGCTGCCTCTGCTTCTCCAGAAGCTTCTGCTCTAATACTCCATCCTGTCTCATCCTATTGCTCTCTCCTCGCTGTTTCCGTGTGTGTGACTCCGTGCCTTCTCCACATAATTTCCATCCGAAATCTGTTTCGGCTTCGGTCCACCTTTTAATCCTGCTCTTCTGCCTACCCACCACCTGTCTGGCTCCCTCTATTTTCCCAGTGGGAAAAGGCTCTCCTTTTCTTTCGCCTCAATCAGAGTCTAGGTCCTCTGAATCAGCTGCTTAGGTTTACTCCTCAATCATCCCCTCCCCAAGGCTACCTTTTGCTTCTCCTCCAACCCCAATTTTTAACTTCCCCATCTCTCCTGCATTGGAAGTTGAATGAAAACCAGACATGTTCCAGAAAACACAGATTCATCATAACTGGTTTGCCAAACTCAACAAAAAATTAGCTACCGGTTCTGACAAACTGGTGAGAACTGGCTGAATCCCACCACTGATATAAATGGGTTATAAAAATTGGAATGAATTATTTCTTCAAACACACTGACTATGGCTATACATTTGATTCTTATTCAAAATTCCAATGTGATCCATAGGATCAATAATGTGTTCTAAAAAATTCAACGCATTTTAAATGTATACAAAATAGATTATTCAAAGCTAAATAGTAAAATTAATCCCACCCAACAAAGTAAACATACTGTATTTTTCGGAGTATAACATGTACCTTTTTCCCTCAGAAAAGAGGCTGAAAATCTGGGTGCATCTTTTACACTGAATACAGCATTTTTTGGCCTCCTGAAACTCCGCCCCCTTCACCAAAATGGTGGTGCATAGACTTTAGGAGGCTTTCAGAGTGCTCCTGGGGGCTGGGGAGGGTAGAAATGAGAAAAAAACGGCCCGTTTTTTGCTCAATTTTGCCCCCCCCCAGCCCCCAGGAGCACTCTATAAGCCTTCTAAAGACTATGCATGACCTTTATTTGAAAAATGGGCCCATTTTCACAAAAAATGGTCCTGTATTTGTGAAAAATGGGCCATTTTTAGGAGGTCTGCGCAGTGCAAAAACTTTTTTTTAAATTTGCTTCTTCAAAATCTTGGTGCGTCTTATACTCTGAAAAATATGGTATGTTTCAAAGTATACTTACTGTAAAAAAATCTGAAATTATATTTAATGAGATTTCTTTCTTCAATATACTATTGAAAATTATAACAAAATAGGACATTTGGAGAGAAGTTGGAATTTCACAGGACCAGATGATTCTTGTAAGGTTTTATGGTTTTTATTTAATGGTGGAGGAAATTCCTGGACCCTCACACAAGACTATGAATTGTATTCAATCCCTGAAATAGATGCTGATTTTATGAAAACTCACTTGTACAACTTCTGCCGTTCTTCCAATTCCTTACGTCTTTGAAGCTTAAGGATTTGAGTTTTCTCATCTTCAAAAAGCTTGGCTGCAGAAGTAATGATATAAAATGATAATTTAAAGATATGAAATATACAAATGCTTTATTTTTATTTAATGTATTTTAAAATCTTTACAATAAAAAGGATTGCCAACAGTTTATATGCTTTTAGGAAATTATTAGTTTTCCTCCCCGTCAAATTCATAGAGGGGCCACTTTCAATGACTCTGAGCTCTCCATGGTCTGTTCAATATTCCTCAGTAATATTTATTTATTTATTTATTTCTACCCTGCCTTTATTATTTTTAATAATAACTCAAAGCAAAAAACATTATTCATCCTAATTCTCAAGCATTCTAATTTCTGAAGGTAATGCTATACTGATAAGGGCTATTACGGGATCTTTTTCTATATTAATTAAAATTTCAACTAAAGCATATCATCAGATCTTTCCAATCGTTGAGTTTGACATATCTAAAAATTGCTCGTCGGCATTACTGCTAAGTGTCTACCAGACTCTCAGTATTTGTCAATGTTTTGTTCCTGTGCAATCTAGAATAACATTAACCTTTTTGTTAATGTGGTCAAGTATTTCCTTCCTAATCATAATTTTCATGGTGTTCATTTTTAAAATAGGAAGTAATAGTAGTATACTAATAATAACTCAAAGCAAAAAACATTATTCATCCTAATTCTCAAGCATTCTAATTTCTGAAGGTAATGCTATACTGATAAGGGCTATTACGGGATCTTTTTCTATATTAATTAAAATTTCAACTACAGCATATCATCGGATCTTACCAAACGCTGAGTTTGACATATCTAAAAAAATGCTCGTCGGCATTACTGCTAAGTGTCTACCAGATTCTCAGTATTTGTCAATGTTTTGTTCCTGTGCAATTTTTGTTAATGTGGTCAAGTATTTCCTTCCTAATCATAATTTTCATGGTGTTCATTTTTAAAATAGGAAGTAAGAGTAGTATACTTTTTTATATCTTTTCAAAGATATATGGTTTATACTCAAACATATTAATATATGGTTTATAGTCAAGCATAATATTAAATATTGTGATAACATTATTGCAACAGGAATAGGCCTAGTTTCCACCTCCTCTTGGGCTTCTATTCATAGGAAATGACCCCTATTTTTAATGTTTACCACAAATTGCCATATCATGTGAACTTTTTAAGATTTCAGTTTAAAAAATCCAGTTAAGCAAACCAGTCTAGTATTTATTTTATAAACTTTAGAAGGAAGTACTCCAATCGCCCCAATGTTTTCTTTAGAATAACAAGGATTGGAGGTACAAAACCTGGATGATGTTGCCTTACCATCAACATAAAATGGAGCTCGCTCAGAGTCTGAAATACACCAAGTAAATGAGATGAAGTGTGCAGAGTAGAGGAGAGAGGTAAAGGAAGGAGAGAGGGATAGGAGAGAGGGCGGGGGGGGAGAGGAGGAAAGAAAGGAGTAGAAAGGGGAGAGAAGGAGAGAAGAGGGGGAAGTAGAGAAGAGAAGGACGACAGAGGGAAGAAAGGAGGTAGGGAGGGGGAGGAGATAGGGGGAAGAAAGTGATGGTTAGGATATAAATATGGTGTATGGAGAGCAGAAGAGCCAATAATCGTTTTTGGGGTTGATGGTAAGATGAATTGATGTAAACATTTAACAATATAATATAATGTTGGTTATGTAACAGTGTACATGTTATTATTTTTTATGAAAATGAAAAAATAAAAACTTTTATTGAAAAATAGAATGAACTAAGATTTACAACAAATACCGAAAATAACCAAAAAAAGTTTATTTCAATATATAATGGACAAGAAAAAAGTAAAGGAAATGATAGCTTCACCAATGGCAGAAGATGACAGGTAGCAGGGAAAAAGCAGAACTGCTTAATTCCTTCTTTTCATCTGTCTTTAAGCAAATGTGGCTCTTTGGGCCCTCTGTTGTGGCTCCCTGTCCCATCAGTGGGTGGCCCTGCCACTTTCCCTCCCATCCCAGTCACTCCTTGCCTGGCCTGAGAAGGTAAGGACAATGGCAGGGGATGGAGAAGCGGCCAGGGCTGCTTCTCCACCGCCTCACTCTTGCAGGAGATTCTTCCAGCCCTTGTTGGTGCTGGCCGTGCCTTGCCCATCTGTGGCTTTAAGAAGCTCAGGGTAGCGCGAAAAGGGGGCTGGTCCTGCCAAACTTTGCATGCCCATCCTGGGGGTCAGGTTCGGAGAAAGAAAAATGCTCACCCGTCAGCCAGTCTCCCCTTTCTGTATCTCTCTCTCTCTCTCAATGTCTCTCTCAATGTCTCTCTCAATGTCTCTCTCAATGTCTCTCTCAATGTCTCTCTCAATGTCTGTGTGTGTGTGCGTGTGTGTATCTTTCTCTCTGTCTCTCTGTCTCTTCTCTCTTGAAAAAGCTAAAGCTGGGTAAAGACAGTGAGCTCTCCTTGGGGCTTTTTGCTGCTCTTTTTCTTTCTTCTTTTTGGAAATCTGGGCTGGCTGAGGAATGAGTTTGAGCCGTGGTGGTTTCTTCCTCCTCCCCATTCTCCTCTTGTGACCCACTGACCAGCTGTAGTGAGGCAGGGAGGGTGCGCATGAGCAGGGAGACCCTCCTCAAGCGAGCGGCCACCTGTCCCGCATGCATCTTTGCTGCACTTTGGCCGATCCCAGCTGCTTGCTTGAGGGTCTCCCCACTTGTGCACACCCTCCATGCCTACAGCCGGCCAGGGGGTTGCGAGAGGAAAAGGAGGGGAAGGAGGAGGGGAATCGCCTAAAGGGAAGCCTCCACTGCGGCTCACGCTCATTCCTCAGCTAGCTTGGATTTTCAAAAAGTTGCCAAGAAGAAAGGAGTAGCAGAGAGAGAGAGAGAGAAACACAGAGAGAGAGACATAGACACACACACACACACACACACACACACACAGACACCGAGAGAGGGGGGGAGAGAGATACAGAGAGTGGGGGGTGAGAGAGGGTGAGAGAGACATAGAGAAATACAGGGGGGGAGAGAGGGGGTTATGGTTCCCATTTTTTAAAAAATAATCAGTTCTGTGCCCTAATGACCGGCTGGATAGGTGTGGCTGGGGGAGGTGTCATGTGACTGGGAGTGAGTGACATCGAGTTGGCCAGATTTTGTGGGTCCCATGTTGTTGTTTTTTCTGTGAGAAATGGGTCCAAATGGCTCTTTGAGTGTTCAAGGCTGCAGACCCCTGACCTTGGACAAGTTCAAATTATCAGGGCCAAATGGTTTGTTTACATTTCAGGTTTCTGAAGGAGCTGGCAGATGTGATTTCAGAACCACTGAATAAAACCTTGCAGAACTTCTAGAGCTTTTGGAACTGCCAGAAAAGTGGAAAAGAACTAATATGGTTCTGATTTTCAAAAAGGGGGAAAAGAGCATCCAGGAAACTACAGACTTGACATCAATATCTGGGGAGATCCTGGGAAAGATAATGTCAGATCCCTAAACGTGATACTGTCATACAATTGGGAGGAGGAGGGCCTTGGAATCAATTTATTGGCAACGCCTGTGACAACTGATATTTTACAAGAGGTTTCCTGGCACTGAAAGGCCGGAGATCCCACCACTTTTTGGGGAATGTTTATGATGGCTGTGTGGGGTGTTTTACTTTAATGCCTAACGGAAGTTAACCATGGGAATGTATGTTTATTCAGCTCTCAGGACAGTTGATAAAGGAAACATCTTCACACTTGTGTATTGGTTAGAATTTGCATGGGAGGGGGTCACTACTGCTTTAATTCTACCTACATTGCTTAAGGGGATTCAGATGTTGCTTTGCCTCTAATGGTTTCCATCCTTCTTAATTAAAGGTTCCTTTTGAAATAATCTGTTTCAAGAGTCTTCATTTTCTTAAGTTAGGAAAGGAGCCCTTACAGATAATCAAGCAGTGAATTTGTGAGCATCTAGAAATGAACAAATTACTAAAGCTCACATGGGTTTGTTAAAAGCAGGTCATCCCATACATACCGTATTTTTCAGAGTATAAGACACACCAGAGTATAACACACACCAAGATTTTGAAGAATCAAATTAAAAAAAAAGTTTTTGCACTCTGTAGACTTCCCAAAAACAGCCTGTTTTTCACAAAAACGGGCCCATTTTTTGTCAAAAAAGGCATTTAGGATGCTTATAGAGTGCTCCTGGGGGCTGGGGGGGGGGCAAAATTGAGCAAAAAATGACCCTTTTTTGCTCATTTCTGCCCTCCACAGCCCCCAGGAGCACTCTGGAAGCCTCTTAAAGCCTATCCATGGCCATTTTGGAGCGGGGTTTTGGGAGGCAAAAATGCTGTATTCAGTGTATAAGACACACCCAGATTTTCAGCCTCTTTTTTGAGGGAAAAGGGTGTGTCATATTCTGAAAAATATGGTACCTTATTACGTTTTTTAATAGGGTGACTAAGTTTGTGGTCAAGGACATGCTGTGCATATAGAATACTTAGACTTTAGTAAGGCATTTGACAACGTACATCACAGTCTACTTCTTGGTAAGATTGATGTGGGATAGACACTACCACTACGAGAGGGATTCACAATTGGCTGACCAACGGCACATATATAATCTCAAAAGATTTCATTTTCACCAAACCACAATAATCTTCCTGATTAATATATATTAGAGGAATTAAAAGGGAAGTATCTTTGATCAAAACTATGTTTCTACACTTCCAAATTTGAAACATTATTTTAATAAAAATAACACTAGAAAAATAATTTGGATAAAAAAACATTGATTTATGAAATTTATAAACTTATTTGACTCCAACAGAGTATAAAATTCCTCTCTGAGGGAGGCTTCAAAATGTAATAAAAATGCATACATATTATTTAGCCTAATAATTTATTGTTATTATTCTACATTTTAAAAATTCCATCTTTCATATCCTAATTCATTCCTGAATTCAAATGGCTAACATTTAAAATAGCATTATACTGCTGCTACCTCCTGCTTTAAACTAGTTTTAAGATTTTTTAAAAACATAATTCATCAAATTTATTATAAAATATTCACTGCATTTTCCCTCTGTTTAGACGGGAATAAAAGTATTAGTTTTAATTTTGAAAGTTTGTTCAAAAGTCTGTGCCAGTTTTGTCTATTAATTTTAACATTTCTGCAGATATGGCATCAGATCCCAACATCTATTTTAAAAATTGTTTCTTAACAATTTAAGTTGTTTAATTTAAATTTAATTGTTTTTCATGTAAATTTTTATTTATATAATAATATGATATACTGTCATTAAAAGCCTAGTTCATATGCACTTCCTCCACGTGTCAGGTATTTTACCCCTTTTCAATCTATTATACAGGAAGATAGAGGGAAACAGAAATTCAGCATTCTTGTTAAGAGGGTAAATACTATGCAAACAGATATGACAGCAGAAAAGGGGAACATATTGAAAGGCAGGTTTTGAAACAGGAAATGAAAAGGGGAAGAGACAGATGAAAAGATGCAGTGTTTCCAAATTAAGTGTAGAAGTTAGAATATTCAGAAAAAGAGTTGCTAACAATCCTGAGCTGAATGAAGAACTTCATAGCAACATTTTATGTCAGATAGTGGAAGTTACTGACTTGTTTAGTGCAACCATTTGTAATGAATAGGTCTTCACATATTATTGGGGAAAAGCTGAAAGGCAGCCTTAGTGCATCAGGTGCAGGAGCAAATTTTGCAAAGGTGGAAGAGGGATAGAGAGGAGGGGTTGGTTATGTCACTGCAATGATATAAAAGCAACCTGGAATTAAGGAGAAACTTTCTAACAGTTAGAACAATTAACCAGTGGAACAGATTGCCTTCAGAAATTGTGGAGATTTTTAAGAAGAGACTGAACAGTCACTTGCCTGAAATGGTATAGTGTTCCCTGTTTGAGTTGGGGGATGAACTAGAAAGATCCCTTCCAGCTCTATTCTATTCTTAAAAGCAGCTGAAGAAAAGGGAGACCCTCTGCTCAGAGTCTGAAAAACCTAATTGGATTTTATCAGGGGGGATTCTCATCTCCCTGAGTGGAGAGACATTTGCACATGGTCTGTTCCAGAGTTCCTCCATCCTGTGGCACCTCACACTGCTTACCTTCTCCTGCACCACCACTTCCATGAGGCTGTGCTCCTTATTTGGGATATAGTTTTAATATATTATTAATACTTCCTCCTTTTTACTGCTTCTGTCACTTTCAAACTCCTTTAAGCACTTTGTATTATTCAGCTACAGGTGAAACTTGAAAAATTAGAATATGTGCAAAAGTTCATTTATTTCAGTAATGCAACTTAAAAGGTGAAATTAATATATGACATAGACTCATTACATGCAAAGCAAGATAGTTCAAGCCGTAATTTGTTATAATTGTGATGATTATGGCTTACAGCTAATGAAAACCCCAAATCCACAATCTCAGAAAATTAGAATATTGTGAAAAGGTGCAATATTCTAGGCTCAAAGTGTCCCACTCTAATCAACTAACTAAGCCATAACACCTACAAAGGGTTCCTGGGCCTTTAAATGGTCTCCCAGTCTGATTCAGTAGGAATCATAATCATGGGAAAGACTGCTGACCTGACAGTTGTGCAGAAAACTATCATTGACACCCTCCATAGGGAGGGAAAGCCTCAAAAGGTAATTGCAAAAGAAGTTGGATGTTCCCAACGTGCTGTATCAAAGAACATTAATAGAAAGTTATGTGGAAGGGAAAAGTGTGGAAGAAAAAGGTGCACAAGCAGCAGGGATGACCGCAGCCTGGAGAAGATTGTCAGGAAAAAGTCATTCAGAAGTGTTGGGGACTTTCACAAGGAGTGGACTGAGGCTGGAGTCAGTGCATCAAGAGTCACCACACACAGACGGATCCTAGACATGGGATTCAAATGTCGTATTCCTCTTGTCAAGCCGCTCTTGAACAACAACGTCAGAAGCATCTTACCTGGCTAAAGAAAAACAGATCTGGTCTGTTGCTCAGTGGTCCAAAGTCCTCTTTTCTGATGAGAGCAATTTTTTGCATCTCATTTGGAAAGCAAGGAGCCAGAGTACGGAGGAAGAATGGAGAGGCACACACTGCAAGATGCTTGAAGTCCAGTGTGAAGTTTCCCCAGTCTCTGTTGATTTAGGAAGCCATGTCATCTGCTGGTGTTGGTCCACTGTGCTTAACTTCAGGGTCAACGCAGCCGTCTACCAGGAGATTTTGGAGCACTTCATGCTTTCTTCCGCAGATGAGCTTTATGGGAATGCTGACTTCATTTTCCAGCAGGACTTGGCACCTGCCCACACTGCCAAAAGCCCCAAAACCTGGTTCAATGACTGTGGGATTACTGTGCTTGATTGGACAGCAAACTTGCCTGACCTGAACCTCATGGAGAATCTATGGGGCATTGCCAAGTGAAAGATGAGAGACATGAGACTGAACAATGCAGAAGAGCTAAAGGCCGCTATTGAAGCATCCTGGTCTTTCATAACACTTCAGCAGTGCCACAGGCTGATAGCTTCAATGCCACGCCGCATTGAGGCAGTAATTGCTGCAAAAAGGGCCCAAACCAAGTACTGAGTACATATGCATGCTTATACTTTTCAGAGGTCCAATATTGTTCTATGTCCAATCCTTGTTTTATTGATTGCATGTAATATTCTAATTTTTTGAGATTGTGTATTTGGGGTTTTCATGAGCTGTAAACCATAATCATCACAATTATGACAAATCACGCTTGAACTATCTTGCTTTGCATGTGATGAATCTCTCTCATATATTAGTTTCACCTTTTAAGTTGTATTACTGAAATAAATTTTGCACGATATTCTAATTTTTCAAGTTTCACCTATATGTTAATCATGGAATTTAGTTCATAGCAGCTACAGAATATTATTTCTATTAATCATCAGAGTGTTCTGAAAAATACCTTTTTGCCTTTAAGTCTTCAAGATTCAATGACTAATGGCCAATGCAACCTTTATGAAGTATCCTGGAAATGGGCCACAACTGGAAAAAATGTTTGGCAAGTGCATCATCAGTTTCAATTGGGAACTTCAAAAAGAGGAAGATGCCAAAATCCCAGAATTGTATATGCAGTCAAGGACTCAAAAGCAGAATGCAAATAGAGAAATAGGAAATCGGGCTATAGAATTTCAAGGACAGAGACCAAGTAGTACCACTCAAACCACAGATGTTTCTATGTTAGTACACAAGACTAGGGGGGGGGGGGAATCCAGTAAAGACTAGAGATTTTGACTTGAGAAAACAAGACTCATGTGACACTTCACTGAAACATGGTGAATGATATTCATTATTCCAACTTTAACACAAGCACAAAATTCTGCTCTGCTTCACTCCGTCCTGGTCAGACCCCATTTGAAGTACTATTTTCAGTTCTGAGTACCATAGTTCAAGATGATAAACTGATGTGAATTACAGAATAAGAGTGGTGGAAGGACCTTGGGAATGTATTCTAGTCCAAAGCCTACTCAAGCAGAGACCCTATGCCATTCTGGACAAAGAATTAAGTTAAATTAAGAATTAAATTAAAAGATAAGAGGATACGAAAAGGATGAGCAGAGTAAAACCAAGTCTGAAGAGGAACAATTAGAAGATTACCGAGGTCTTACAGAAGAGACAGAGAAGGGAAGATATTATAGCAGTGTTCAAATATCTAAAGTTATCTTATAGAACAGGAAATGCACTGACCTCGACCATCTCGGAGAACCACCTCTTTTTCATCTGTAATCCACCTGTAACATGGAAACTCCAGGTAATCACCAACTGGTGTTTTCACAGCGATATATTTAAGGTACCAATCATCAGGAAACCAGTACTTCCGCTTTTCAATTTTTATCAATTGGATTTCCCCCAAGTCCTCTGTCACTGTAACTTCATAAGTATCAGTCTGGGAAGAAGGAAAAAAAAAGACTGTGATATGCTGGAGAACCTAAATGCAGCCACCTGGAAATAATTTAACTTCACATTTTCAAGAGTGTTCATGTCAAACTAACAAGACTTTGGAAAATGTACTTTTAAGCAGGCTTTGTCACCATTGCCCTTGCTGTATTGTGAAGCATGTCCAAAACAACTGATTGTGAATCATGTCTAAAACAAATCAGTTCATGTCTGTTTCCATCATGGCAGCAGAACTGTATTTTCCAACTAGGGCAATATTTAGATGTGTAAGATCACAGCTGAAACTCTACTTTTGAAGTTTCCCAGTTTGGGAAATTCTGCACTAGACCAATCTTAACATGTTTCTGGCTTTATGCATGGACACACAATGGATTTAGTTCAACTACTGCTGAGAATCTATAGACAGGAATGTTCTATGTAATTCCATTGTAACTGATGTTACAATATTATTTCAAAGTTTATACTATCCACATTGCTAATTTTAACCTCTTTTCTGTATATGCGTCTCCTGAACAAGTCTTTCAGCATATTTTGTTTTAATACTGTCTTTTAGTCAATTGTTTTGTCTACACGTATTTTTATAATTAACCAGATATCAATTTAATTTTGCATATTTGAATACTAATTCTCTTGTGCTGATTAACGATTACAATAAAGTTATCATCTGTTAGATCCAGCTGGTGTCCTATATATACCTAGCAATTTGCTCATCTTGCTTGTGATGTTACTAAAACTCTCATTTATGGAATATTCCTTGGATTACATCATGATGATTGTTGTTTTTCATTGTTCAGTGGTAAAGGGAAATATCTGACAACTGAGATGGGGAAGTGGAATATTTTACAACAGAAAATATTTTTATAACAAGAACAGAAACAGGATTTTAACTAAAGAAGCATTCATATTGAATTTATGTGTATCACATTAGCTGTAAAAGAATAACCAATACAATCGTTTTGCAAGAAAAATATATGACAGGGCTCTTTAGCTTAAAAACTGTAGGACTATAGCATATATCACATAATATGATCAGTACAGAATCTTACATTAACTTGATTTTCACAGGGATAGATCAACCCCTTCCTGTCTCATGTATGTACCTGTTAAAGAGGCCTATATGATATTTTGCATAATATTTGGATATTTATAGTAAATATGAAAATTAAGGACCATTACAATTTAAATAAATTTCACAAATATAAGGAAAAACAAGGCAAATGTGACTAACAAGGCTTCATTTATACATATGTAACAGACTAATGACAGTGAGATTAGAAACACATTTGAAACTACGCAGGCTCAAAATCAAGGAATAAAAACCCAATTTTGTGGGACTGGGGGAATAGGAGAATCTGTTTGCAGCAGTTTAAAACTTCTACATTTCTATATTTGAGATTAAGCATAGACTATGCAAAGTAACTATAAAGAGATTATATAAATTTTGTTCTTCTACATCATCATAAACCATTGTTCCTAGTTCCTTTTTATATAAAATATGAATATTTTTCAACTCCTCCATTCTGTTTTTCCCCTCTTCTTATCTTCTCATAATTTCTGTCAAAAACTGTAGCAGAATTTAGTACCCTTTCAGTTCTAGGATTAAAATATGAACAATGTGCCTCTAAGTCCTTCCTTCAATAATGAAGAAGTTCACATAAAAAGAACTACCTTTTCATATTCAATTGCAGGCCAGGGTTCATTCAAAAATGCAAAATGCAAACCCTATATGATTAAATACCAAAAATAAAATAAAAAACAACTTAGGAATTTTTGCTTTAATTTTTATATGCATGTGTGTCAATTTATTGGATGGTGAGATTTGAAAGGCAGAAAAGACCATGGTGAAATTTAGAAAAGGAGGGTAGTTTTTTAAAAAGTCCATTAATTGGGGTGGGGAGGGCATTCTCAGAATAATGCAAACAGTGTTGTAGCATTGTAGCCTATAGACATTGTTGACATAAACAGCATTTCTTTGATATTAGTCTTCATGTTAAAACAAGTTTTTCTGTTAGAAAAAGTTACTGAGATTTTCCAAACTCCTTGGCAATTTGTATCAATTTGCCTTCAACAATGCTCATGTAACTAGATATTTAATGATTTATTTAAATACATTTTGTAATCAGGATATAAGTCTATGCTGCACACTTTTCATATATAATTATTTAGATCCATGATGGAATAAAGCTCGTACCAGAATGTCAATAGGATTTTGATTATCTGTCAAGCTCCTTGTATTCTGGTCTCCAAAATCAGAAAGATCTAATATATCCTGGAAAACATTCTAGCAAGTTAGCAATTATCAGATTTCTGAGCTCGAGTTTTATAATGAGAGCAGTCATGCTCTTGCTCCAGATTGGCTGTAGAACCAAGACAGCCCCTGAAATCTGGGCCTAAATTGTTTCAAGGACCCCAAGTTGTTTCAACTCCGGAGCATAGAGGTAAATATAAACGAGTGTAGTAGTAGCAGTTTCTGATTGACATTACTGGATAGTAAATAGGCTAATAAACATGCTTCATTCTGTTTCTAGCTCTGCTTTAACTCATGTCAGATCCCTAAAAGTGATACTGCCATTCAACAGGGAGAAGGGGAGCCTTGGAATTAAATCATTAGCAACATGAAACAACTGAGTTTTACAACTTTACAACTGGTTCCCTGTCACCGGGAGATTGAAGGTCCCAACATCTCTGGAGGGAAGTTTATGGTAGCCATGTGGGATATATAACTTTGATGTCTAACTAGAGATAGCCATGGGAACCTGTGCTTTATTGACTCCCAGGGCAGAAGAGTTAAAGAAACATCTTCACACTTGTGTATTGGTCAGAATCTGCATTCGGACAAAGGGGAGGGGTCATTATCAGCTTAATCCCATTTGCACGGCCTAAAGGTTTTCAGATGCTGCTTTGCTTCTAATGGTTTCCATGCTGCTTGATTAAAGGTTCCTTTTGAAATAATCCGTTTCAAGAGTCTTTACTTTCTCAAGTTAGGATATGAGCCATTACACTCCAGCTCTTTTCAAATTCCAGAACACAGCTTAAAGACTGACCAATTCTGCTTTGACTTCAGTCTGTAAATTTTCTTTAAGCTTTGGAGCCAGAGGCTTGGCCACATCTAACTTTTGGTGCTAAATAAGAATCACACCTATGAAGTAAATATTCATTCAGATGTTCCTTGCCTCTAACTTCCATACAATATTTGGAATGCAAATCCTCTTAATCCAGACATTCAACTACAGATTTAAATTACTTCAGTGGAAGTAAAAATTATAATAACAGAGCAAACATAACATATGTGTAAGAGAGACTAAACATACATTGGGATGAAATAAATTATAAAGAAACATGAAGGCAGTATTAATTGGTAGGGTGGATATGCATCTTTCCAATGAGGCCATGGCAGATAGAGGCCTCATGAGCTAACCCCAGAGTTGAGGCCATGGCAGGTAGGGTGACAAAACAAGGCAGACAGAGCCACAAACATACATAAGCAAGAATAAGTATTTAGAAATAGTAAATGTTTCAACCTATAATAATCTCTTCTTCATTACTTTCTAGAATGTCAAATACAGTTGCTGCTAAAGAGACAAAAGTAGAAATTAGGTCTAAACCTCTCTGCCACTGTAACAACAACAGAAAACACAGAAAAGTATGACTAACTGCTCCTTTCAAAAACAATTTCCTTTTTTAGTTGCTCATCCCCACCTAAAGGCTTACATATATGGGGCAAGACTAAGCAAAGGATGGCAGCAAAGAGTATCCACCATTATTTCATTTTGTTCAAAAATTTGAACAAAACTGTTTTAAAAAATTTCCCTTTTGAATTTTCATCCTCTTTGGGTCTAATTAGAGCTCTTAGAATAAGAAACAAAAGCCTGGATACTCTTAGAGGAACCTCTGCTTAACTGCCTCCCCTCCCCAATTTCTTGCATAATACTACAGAGGAAGTTACCAAGTACTTCTTACAAATATCATTTTGGACACCTTCACAATCCTGATACAGCAAACCAGAGATTTCTGATGAATTACACTGAAAAAAGTACGAATACTGATTTCTCCTTTCTAGATAGTGCAGTACTGTATGGCCATTTTCGCCCTATGCGGTCCGAAAAAAACAAACGGTAACAAGCAAACGGAGGCAGGATCCTTTCCTGCAAAATAGCTCTTATATCACGCAACAGAAAATTATTAAGCAGCTGCATTTCCGCATCATAATACAGAAGGTATATTATTACTTTCCGCTTTCCATGATAAGGCAAATTAGCATTCAAAATTTTTGCTTGCTATTCAGGAGGCAAAGTTGTATTGTACTGTGGCAGAATGCAAACATCCCTCGATAACTTAGAAGGGATGTAAGAGTGCAAATAGGAAGCCAATATCGATGAGTAACTATTGAGGAACAAGGAAAGAAATAAATGACTTTTTGTCGCGGTAAAACGTAATCTCAAATAGCTTGTGCTGAGAGAGAAGCGACCGTACATATCTCGATATTCCACAGCTCGCCCACCACCACCTCACTTACAGCACCGCGCTCGAAGTCATTATAGAAGGGTTTGTCAAGCAGGTGTCTCTCGCTCGTGCCGGCTAAGCCCACCAAGGTAAGGTAGATATAGTCGTCGGTCCCTGCGAACCACTGAGTTCCCGTCGCCACTGTCACGAAGTAGGATGGCATGACTAGAGCTCAGTAGTATTGATCCACTTTGCTAATAAATTCACAATTTATGGAAGGCTGATGGTAATTCTATGGGCGGAACAAATTGGTCACAACCAGCCATGTCGCTTTTCCCGCCCTTGAGGGGAAGTTGGAGTAATGATTGACAAGGCGTAGAACGTGAATATTCTCATTTCTGAAATGAAATCTCGAAGTCTGATTAGGGTCTCTCTAAATGATATTTATTTTGACAGTATAGTTAAAAACGTATACCATTGAACAGATGGAATTTGCAGCAAAATACAATACCATTGTCTAAACGTTTCTGCCTGCCTAAATCATGCTTAAGTAGTAGGGAGCTGAATCAGATTTAATCTTCGTTAAATCTTCGTTTTGTATCCTTGATATCCCCCTTTTCAACTTTTTTCTCTTTGGCGTACATATTATGTAGCTTTACAAATTTTTCAGTTGTAAAAAAAAAACCAAAAATGCTAATATTTTCTTTTATCTGTAATCAAGTTTTGGTTAAAATATCACTTGCTGCTTTTAATTTTTATTAGTTTTAGAGTCTGAAAACTGCTTTTGTTTGCTATTAGGCAAAGTTACTTTAAAATAACTTTGGCAACTAATTCTTAATTAACTGCAGGAAGAAATAGAAGCAAATTACATCAGTACTTGCAAATCAAATCGTATTTTAAATAGCTTTTAACTATAGACTGGCTCTTCCATGATGAATGTGACTTATGGTATCTCTAAGTATCTCTAACTACCTAAAAATCCAAACTGAATGAAGACTAAATATTATAGTCATAAACCAGCTTATAAACAGAAAACAAAGTGTGAAATTGCAAATACTACAGTAAAAGTATTCTAAAAGTAGTATGGTCAACATGTGTGATATTTACTATGAAACTTAGCCACATTAAGAGAAATAAATCACACGAATCATAATAGCAACTGTAAAGGCTCTGGAAATTTGAGTGCTATAGATGATGTATTTACTAAATGCAACTGGGCATTTTTGTAGTAGTGGCAATATGAAAGAACATGAGAGTATTTCAAATATTCCTCCACTAGAAGAATGGTCTTTTTTCAAATTGAATGCCCCATTGTTTCTCCTCAAAAAATGATTAATATTGGAAAAGATGGCTGATTAATCAACTGGAATAGGTCACAATGTCATACAAATATGCTCATTATTGTGGCTTATATTGCTAAGAATCTTTCATAAATACATGAAAAATATAATAGATGTCTTTAATGTCTGATGAGTAGTGTACTGCTTATTTGTATTTTAAAGCAAAGCAACAGCTTGAATGCATGAACCTTTATATAATTATGAAATATATTAATTATATAAAACAATGTTTTGAAAACTAAGTCAGATGTATTTTCCTTTATTCCAAATTCTTAAATAAAGCCAATTTCAGAAACAAATTAAATACCAACATAAAAATGCAGTCAAATTCTGACTGATCTATCCTGGTAGTAAACTAACGTATAAACCTCTCTTGTATTCCTTTTAGCAAGTGTAGACCTGGCAAAAACCTTAACTGGTAGAAAGATGTAGAGCAGGGGTGTCAAACTAGCGGCCTGGATGGGTCACACTCTGGCTACACCTACCCCCAGTTTAGTGAAGGGGAAAAATAGCAATAGCACTTAGACTTATATATTGCTTCAGTGTTTTTAGTCCTCTTTAAGCGGTTTACAGAGTCAGCATATGGCCCCCATCAATTTAGATCCTTATTTTATCACCTCGGAAGGATGGAAAGCTGAGCCAACATTGAGCCCGGTAGGATTTGAACTGCTAAATTGCAGGCAGCTTGCAGGCAGAAGTAGCCTGCAGTACTGCACTCTAACCACTGTGGCTCTGGCAAGTCGCAATACATCACGTGATGACATGAGTTTGACACCCCTGATGTAGAGCATGGGTGCCCAACCTTTTGACTTCCAGGGCCACCAGAGGTGGGTTGCTAATTTTTTTACTACCGGTTCGCTGGTGGACGCTTGCGCGCTAACGATGTTTCTGCGCATAAGTGTCCAGGCGGGTGGGCAGAGCCTGCCGCCTCCAATACCAGTTTGCCCAATCCAGGCAGAACCGGGAGCAAGCCACCTGAGGGCCACAGTGAGTGAAGAGAAAATATGTAATATTGTTAATGTATATAAATCATATGTTAAAAGCTTATGATCTTGTGAGGTCACATTGCTAGTCATCCAGTGAGGCATAAAGCTCATTGCAGGTTGNTACTTACCTACCTACCTGTTGTGGCCCAGCAGGAGCTGTTGGAGCTGCCACCAGACTCCGACAGTGAGGGGCCCTATGAGTCGGCTCTGGAGGATGTAAAGGACCCTGGACAGGGTTCCGACTCCGAGCAGGGCACAGAGAGGCTGGTTGGCCACCAGGAGGCACCTGAGCCTTGGAGCAGTGGGGAGGAGACAAGGGAGTTGGTCCTGGATGCCCAGCAATGGAGGGCTAAAGAACAGTTATGCAGTTACAGGAGATAATTGCACTCAGCTGGTGGTAATTAGGCTCCTCTCAAGACTATAAAAGGAATGACTTTCCACACATTCGTTGCAGGAGTCAACATATTTACAAGAGCTGGAGAACTCTCGTGGCTAGCTTGGCAGGCAGGATTGCTGCCAATGTCTTGTCTCTGTGTTAATAAATCCTTGAAGTATCTTTGTCTCGGCGTGCTTGGGTGTAAGATGAGGGCGGTCAGAACAGATATCATAATATTTTATACTTACCCATGAATTCCAGTGACAAGGAAGATCAAGTTCCCATTGATCTTGGTGCAGTTGATAAATTTATCAATGTTACTGGAGTCCACAGTTTGAGCATACATCAAACTTCCTGTACCTATGCCATCACAAGCTGCAAAAACAAACAGCTCTGTAAAAATATGTAATCATATACACACAGACACACAAAGACACACACACACACACACACACGAATTCTTTGTATAAGTGAAAGCCTAAATGAATGACAGCCTAGGCTGAAATTATCCTTAGTAGAGAGCAGCAAGGTGATAATTGCTACAGGTAAAACTGAAAGCATGAAGCCACATTGTAGAATAAGGATTAGTCACAGAATGATTGTAGTATATTCCTAGTAGAAAGTCACTTACACGGAGAGAAAATTTCTAAAGCAGGAGCTTATAACATATGCATCACTACTGAATGGAGTAATCAAGGAAACTTAATAACATTACAGAAGTGAATTTTGGACATCTTGTACATGTATATTATGAACTAGGAAGTAATAAGTACTGATGATAGTGAGAAAGGAATCAGGAAAAAAAACCTATTCTGTCAAGCAGTCAAGAAAATGTCTATGTTTAATTTTTCTAAGCTAATGTGAAATCCTTAAGAATTGCACATTGATTTCTGAAGCCATATATTCCACGAGCATCTGACATAAGTCTACATCTTTTGTTCTTTTATCTTTCATTTCAAAATAAATAATCTTAGAAAAACCCTTCTCTATTTCATCTGTGCATAGCCTTGAGCATAACATAAACCCAAATTATGTTAGGAAATAGTAGTTCTATAGTTCTATAGAATTGTATTGCCATAAAAGAGCTGCTTTATAGTAACAGTACTAGAAATATTATGCAGAGATACAAATCATGCAATACAAAGCAAAAAAAAAATACACCATAAAATGCTTTTAGTTATAACTCTTTTCACAGTCACAATGGAACAATGTTCAAAATCCTGTAAAAATAGCTGGTGATATATATTTATTAATATAATCAAAACAACAAAAACATGGGGAAATTATATAAATCTCCAAACTTCTTTACTAAAACTCCAGAATCATTTTGAGTATCTTGGGGTTTTTATCCATATTCTTTTTCTTATAGTTTATCAAATAAATTATTTGAGTCTGTACAATAAAAAATTTTCTCATTACAACTGTTAGCCTTACAGAGAGAGGAAAAAAGGAATGCTTGACTCAATAGCATTAAACTGAGTGTTACAGGGCTCAGATCCCACATATCTTCAGGTAAAGTTCATAAAATTGATTGTTCCTCTTATGGAGTTACAGTTGTGTGTAAAGTTTACATAACCTTAGTCATATGATATTGTTACATGAAACCCAAAATGCAGAAAAGTGAAGAAAAGTGAAGCAATCTTTACACAGTACGTGGAGTTCTCACTTTACTGACTGCCGACCATTTGATGTTATAATAGTTGAAAAACACCAGGTTTGTGACCAATCGTGACATGTACAACTGTGGTAATGTCACACGGTCATATGATCACCATTCAGGTGCTTCGAAACAGATGTGCATTTATGAATGTCACAATATTCTGCAATCCCATGATAATCATAGGGAAGCTTCACAACAGGCTTCCAAAAAGCAGAATTAAGGGAGAACACAGAAGTGAAATTGCAAATCAGAACCACATGATGTCTTGTTTAACGGCAACAGAGTTACTGATCTCAATTGTGTTAGCTGTGCAAAGTGAAATATATATTTTTACAAAGTTAAATATATTTCTACAAATTTGAATGCATGCTTACAGTCTTTATGTGCAATTTATATGTTGAGAAAGAAAAAAAAAGAGGTAGAGAGTAAGGAAGAACTGACAATTTGGCAGGAGCAAAGATCGAGCATCTTTTTTATCAGGTTTCTGTTTGGTCAGCTGAGGTTTTTCTAGTGTTGTCTTCTACGATAAGGTTGTAGAAAAGATTTCCTCTGGCAACTACTGCATGCAAATCAATATCACAAAAAGAAAACACGCTGAGGATCTGGGCACCTTTACTCTGGTGTAAGCTAAAGTTTCCAGCAAGTCATTTGTAGTAATCTGTGGATTCTGTTGTTGTAGATCTGGACAATTTTCAGGCAGATGTGACAGACATTTCAATCTTCTTAATCTGCCCTGACTTCCATGTAACTTCTATTTCTCAACCATGTTTCTTATAGTTGAAAATGCTAGGTGGAAACGTTTAGATAATATTTTAAGGCCTTGATCTGCTTTGTAAAGGAGAATTATCTTTATTTCCCAATGATGAGTTAAAGGCTTAGAGGAGGCAATGGTTACTGGAAGTAATAATCACAATCTTAAAAATTGAAGGGGTCAAAATATTTATTTCCCTGAGAAACTTTCTTCATAGGGCTAATTGTAGGCCTAACAAGTCAAGAATTTTGAGAGATTTTATTAATAATTTCACAGAATCAACCAGAAGGGAGTCAAAACTTCAACACCTGCTATATTTATTGTATTCTTGAATCTGCAATCAACAGCATCCAAGTAATAAATGTGTATTCAAGTTTCTAGAAAAATGACATGCTTAACTTAGAACGGAATAATAGAGTTGGAAGGGACCTTGTAGGTCATCTAGTCCAACTCCTCGCCCAAGCAGGAAACCCTACACCATTTCTGACAGATGGCAGTCCAGTCTCTTCTTGAAAGCTTCAAATGATGAAGCTCCCATCACTTCGAAAGGTCACCATAAATATAAAGGGAATTCCAGAATATATTATGCCTAAACTAGAGATGACAGTGACAGAGATATGTGGATGGGGACCAGATGCTGAGTCCATTGAATGTGCACCATTGGAAGAGTGAAGGGAATTATAATCTGGAAAAAAGGCTAAACATTTTGGGAAAGGGAGAACTTGGGGAAGCAGTCGCATCTCTTTGCACATGTATTTTGCAATCTGTGTTAAAGAATTGGATTCATTGTAGGAGATGAACAGACAGAACTGGGGGCAGAGTTAAATGTGTCATCAGCTTTGAGTTCTTATGTTGCCACAAACAATCAAACTTCAACCTTTCTTGGATTCTGTTGGTCCTTATACGGCAGCAATTTAGTATTGAACATTAACAGTTGACTAGATTCTTGTGTACAGGCTTGAGCAATAAATCTTTGAGCTGGAACTTAACATATGGTCCTGATCATTTGCACCTGAAACTAGGTATCAAAAAGATATTTTTCAACTGCAAAACTGCAAGAAGTTCATCTTCCTTTTTTTTACTTTAAACCATCTTCCCATCATATTTCTGCTATTGTCCTATGTAATTATAATCTATTCCTCCTGTTCTATACAGAAATAATTTTCTGATTGCCAGGAGAGCCCAGTGATGTCAGACAATGGGGCATTGACCCTCTTTAACTAGTTCACATACTTGCCTTTTTTTTTCTAATAAAAAAGTTGCACCCTGATTTTAATATTGCATACCCAATGCAATTCATTATTGGTTTCATTGCCTTTTCTTGAGCCTGAGGAAAAGGAGAAGGGAACATAAAGGAGAAACTCCTTGGGAGATTATTCCAGAGATCAGACTCTACCATCTTACAAGTTGGTGTTCCAGAAGACCCTCAACTGCTGAGGACTATGTTCAGTGGACTATGGGAAACCACATTTCCACAGGTTTGCCACAGTTACCTTAGATGATCAAACCGCTACCCTTAGATAGTGAAACCTGTTGTGGCTCAGCAGAAGTTTGCTGTGAGTTGAGTCGGGATGCAGGAATAACAATGCAGCTGGGGCTNTATACAAATATAACTTCATGTCCAAACATTTCTTTCTTTCCCCTCCACCAAAGCCTTTTTATCTTTATGGGTAATTAACCATTTTCTTCAATAAATATTTCTAAGAAACTTGAAAGTTTTCAGCTAGTATAAAATCAAATGCTGTTCAGTGCATTTGGGATTTAATTCTCAAACATCACTTAATATTTTGCAACATGTTTTTGCAGCACTAGAGTAAATGCCAAAATTAGGATAATCTAGATACACCATTTCTAGCATCTAGTGATTACCCAGAGTTTTGCACACTTGGTATGCTAACACAGTAAACCACTATGAAAAATCTTATCTCTATTAATAAAAATGAAACTGCCACGTGGCTATAGAATAGCTTGATTGCAGAAATCACAAAAATCTAGATACATCCATATTGCCACAGCAAGAGTTTTCAAATCACTTCAAAATTGGTGTGGCAGGGTAAATTTGAAATATAGTTCAATGGACAATTAAATAAATATGAACACATAAAAGAGATGGAGAAAAAAAGCCCAGAAAATACTCACAAGTCCTTCAATAACTAGCTATTGTCCACAGGATTAACTGCACAATTTCCACATTTATAACACTCACACCCAAAAATATATTTCAGCACTTTTCCATTTCTATTGTGCCACAAAAAGATAAAGAGCAATTTCCTGAACATTCAACTGGGCACTGACAATTTTATTTGAGCTCCTTAATACCCTTACTTTTTTTTCTCTTCTTGTGGACCGATATATACCAAAATGATGCCTGGAGTTGTCACATAATTTTATATGCAATTGAAAGACCACATCTAAAGTTGAAATAGCTATCTTAAGCAGGGTAAATGGAATAACAGGTGAAACTTGACAATCCTGCAGAGTTTAGCCATTCATAAAGTTAAATGATCATAAATCAGTTTCCTAAGAGTTAGGAAAGTTCATTGCAATTAAGGAAGACGATGATCATATTAATGATACACACATATGCACACACACTCCAGTGATTTATAATGCTCAAGCATATATATCATTTCGCTTAAAAATACATAATGATTAGAATATGATATTATCTCCATATAGAAAAATGGAAGATGGAACTGACCCAGAAGATCAGTACAGGTAGTCCTCCGCTTAGCCACAATTGAAACCAGAATTCCCACTGCAAGTCATTGCAGTCGTAAGTCAAATCATCATGTAGCCAGAATAAGTTTTACGATCATATTTAAAACATAAAATTTAATCACCATGGTGATAAGTTGAGTCATGCAATCGTAAGTATAAATCCATCTTAACCAATTGTGATTTTGCCACAAACCAGCAAAAAAACATCACAAGCTGCATTCACACGACTGCAGAAGGCTGCAATTGATCAGAACTGCACGTCAACAGGGCAAGTGCCCAAATTGTTACTATATGGCAGCAGGACAAGAGTTGTAAATTCACATTTAGATTGTGACTAAGAGGCCATCGTTAATTATACTAAGCAAACAATTATACATGGAGGACCACTTGTAATTTATCTTGTGAATTCATGGCCTAGAAGGAAAATCTGTCAAGAATTTCTTCATTGTTACAAATGCATAAATGGCTCAATTATGTAGATTACCTGTTATCTCTCTCACTGTTTGGAAGACATGTAAGTTCTGCGGGTCAATCGCTTCAATTGTGTGATATGGATCCCTGGAAGATAGCAATGACACATTGTGGTAATTGAGTATGAAATTATGCAGACGGATTTGCCCCAAATCTTGCGTGGCATCTTTATCTTTACCTTTCCTAACCAGGAAGAGCATTTTCTGCCAATTTAAATTAGTACAAGTCCCATCACACCTTAAATTGCAAATGCTGAATTGTCTGAATCTGCATCAGTCTCCCAAGATCTTTCAACAGCTCACGTAACTCCAGTCCACTGAGGTCCCTGGTTCTACAGAAAGGAGTTGCCCTCTCAATATTCCAGTTGTATCTTGGGGAAAAAATGCCGTTTTCCAAAAGGATATCCTTCACACAATTACATTTTCCATGCAGACTTTATTCTAGTGAACAGGGGAGAGAATAAATCTTCCTTTTTTTCTTACTTCCTTTCTATTCTCTCTGATCTGAAATCTGCACACATACATACAGTAAGTGGATAATGGGCTAAAAGCTTAAACTTCTTTGTGGGAGGAAAGAGAAGCAGGAAGCTGAATTGTTTTCCAACTCAAATTAAAATTTGTTATGTGGGCATCGTGTTCATCTCACATTTCTAAATGATGTATTATAAAATCTTGGCAGAATGAATACTGTTCTTGCCAGCACTGGTTTTGCTGCTCATGTTTCCATCTATTAGAGCTAATGAAGAATACAAAATACCATTACTTATTTGATCAGCCAGAATTTATTTTCATGGTTACTGTATTTTATTTACATTTCGAATCGGTCTTACGATTGGATTAGAATTGTTCCACAAAGTTTAATTATTATCTGTTAAATATTTCTGATTAGAAAAAGTCAATCTATTTTTTTCAGGATGTTGAAAACCGCAAGAGTTTTAATTATTTTTATTTAAATGAATGCATATAAAGATATATTTCATTAATTTGTTTTTAAATACTTGTTGAAACCAATGTATCCCCTAGCAACTGGGTGCATTAATTCAGTTAGGGCTAAAATCCAAACAGAGCTAAGAGCCCAAGCTTAACATACAAATAGAGCCTGGAAAGAATTA